TTGCCAACATTTCACAGATAGAATCTGAGACATCTGTGTCAAGCAATATCAGAATGTAGTCAAGATGGCAAACATGAGGAAGAACACACAAGCTAGGAGAGGCTGCAGTTTGCTTTTGTCTGAGTCTACAGGGAAATGCAAGATTCTGCCCTCTCCTCTCCTCTCCTCCTGCTGAGTTAATTGAGACCAAACTGCTTTTTTCCTTTCAACTGAATTTGCAGTAATTGAAGTAAGCTGAGGACAAGGAGGAAAAATGGGAGGAGAGAGAGCAGGACATTTGAAGAACAGCTGAAAAAGTTGCATGACAGAAGATTATTTGGGCCTATCCCTGCCAAATTGAGACAGTTGGAGGATATGAGAAGATTACTTTTCTGATCATTTCTCTGCTTTCCTCCTCTCTTCCATTGCACCTCCACAGAAGTCCCAGCAGACTGGAGGAGGCCAAGTGTTGTCCCCATCTTCAAAAAGGGGGAAAAAGAGGAGCCAAACAATTACCGCCTGGTTAGCCTGACATCAATACCAGGAAAGATTCTAGAGCAGCTCATTAAACAGAAAGGAATGCCGTAACTGCAAAAAGTCAACATGAGTTTCTCAAAAACAAGTAATGCCCAACTAATCTTATCTCCTTTTTTTGGATAAAATTACCAGCTTTGTAGATGAAAGGAATGCTATGAATGTAGCATATATTGATTTCAGTAAGGACTTTGACAAGTTTCTCCATGATATTCTGGCAAACAAACTAGTGAAATGTGGACTAGACAATGCAACCATTAGGTGGATTTGTAATTATTGACTGGCTGAACCCAAAGGGTGCTCAGCAATGGCTCCTCTTCATCCTGGAAAGAGGTGACCAGTCGGGTGCCACAGGTTTCTGCCCTGGGCCCAGTGCTATTCAACATCTTTATCAATGACTCGGATGAAGGAAGAGGGCATGCTTATCAAATTTGCAGATGACACCAAATAAGGAGGCGTAGCTAATATCCCAGAGGACGGGATCAAAATTCAAAATGATCTTAATAGATTGGAAAGCTGGTCTAAAACTA